TATATATATATATATATATATATATATATATATATATATATATATATATATATATATATATATATATATATATATATATATATATATATATATATATACACCCACACACCCACACACACACACATAGATACATACATATAGGTGCATGCATATATAAACAAACAAACACAAATTTTTACCTTTCTCCCATTTTTTTCAGATGCCACCATCATCAACACTTCTTGATGTAAAACATAAGTTTCACAAAATATGTAAGCATCTAATTTTTTATTTAGTCATTAAATGTAAAGACCTTACTTAAATTTAAATTAAATTACTATCTTACTATTTATTTGGACCAAATTCATCAGAGGGTTAGAGCAACTATATAGGTAGACTATTTGCAGACTGAGCATGCTTCAGAGAGTGCTAGTGTAAAGATATTGGATTATATTATTTACTTTTGGTGGTGGTGGTGGAATTTGCACACTTTTAATTATATTGGTAAAGATGAGTTAATCAGCAGTGTTGAAAATAAACTATGTACAACTGCTCTTCCAATATTGTGGATAATATAACGCTTGAATTCTAAAAGCACTTACCTCTCCAAATATGATTTGTAGTTGGATATATTCCTGTTGATAAGAAACAGCTCCTTCCAAAGTAATGTTGCAGTATGGAGAACTCTTTGTTTGCCCATTATCTTTCATTCTTTCATACTTATCTACTTCTATTTCTTCTTCCCTCCTTTTCTATCTCATTCCTGATTAAATTGTTCACATTCTATGTCCATGATCATTCTCTTTCTGCTTAGATTGCTGAGGCTACAACTTTGGAAATTATGATTATTGGCAGAGACTGAAGAATCCAATGACATGTGATTGCAGAGTTAAAATGCTTAGCCCCTCCCTTCACTAACACTTCATGCATGTTATTAGTGCAGCATGTCTCTGTTACCTGAGATGAAGCTCTTATCAGGGGTAGAAAGAGCAAGAGCCGAATTAAAATGCATTTTTTTCATAAAACATAAATTTTATTTTTAATATTCTCTGAACTGATATATGGACAGGCTCATTACTTGATCTATACGTTTGCCACCATATTGTGATATGCTGATAATCTTCCTTTTTTAAAAAAGGATATTGTAGAACAGAAGACCCCAATCTTTTGGGCATCGGGGACTGGTTATGTGGAGAGAGTTTTTTCCATGGACCGGAGGGAGCGTGGCTTTGTGTGCTGCCTGCATCTTGTGGATGGGGCTTTCCTTGTTTGTGCGGACCGGTTGCTGGCATGCCACGGCCCGCTACTGGTCCACAGACTGAAGGTTGGGTACCTCTGTTGTAGAAGGTATAATTCAATGTATAGTTCCAAGAGATTTGCTGCCTAGATTAACCATAAACTGATGCTTGCAGCTTTACTCAGTTCTCAGTTTTATTCATCCTTTCTGGGATCTGCCCTGAAATTTTGTTTTGTTTTTTTGCATAAGCATTAGGACAGATACGACATTTTTGTCAACTAATTAAAAATTAGTTGATTAACAGTCTTTCCTTAGACCAGTGTTTTCAAATTTGGCACTGGCTACCTAGGGAATTCTGGAAATTGAAAGCTACATATCTTAAGTTTGTCAAATTTGAGAAATGCTGCCTTAGACAAATGAGCTGAATAATTTCCCAGTTTGCTTTAAATGCAGTTGTGTAATTTGTTTGTGAGATTGTTTCAGAAAAGGCAATTTTGGATCGCACAGAGTTCAGAGTCCAGGCCGTCCAACTCCCAAAGCCCTATCTTTAATCACTGACAGTTCCAGAGGAAGATCTTATGTTGGGAAGGGCCTCTTCCTAAAAACTATTGCCACCAAGAAGAATTGCAACTAGACTAGATCTCATCTAGCATGTCAAATTACCATATTTCACCTGCTTGGAATTAATGACAAAATTTCAGGTTTTTTTTTATAGAGAAAGAAACGCATTCATTCTTCATAGGAAATATGTTTCTTAAGATGTTTTCTTATTCCATGCTATAACAATGGATTCAAATTCAGCATAAAAAGACTTGTGCTTTAATTCTTAGTCCTTAGTTGAAATGAGCACCAGCTTTAATTATTAACCCACCAATTAGGATTAAAAGCATTAATGTATTTAACCTTAATAAAAAGAATCCCAATGATAGGGATTCACATTCAATGCTATAGTGGATAAGTTGCAATAGCTTATAAAAGCCAAGCTAGACAAACCTATTACATGTTAATGCAAAGTGTAAAGCCTGCCAATAAATCATTTGTTAATGATGAATCACCAAATTATTTCCCTATGCTTTAATATATGAATTTAGTGATATCTTTGTATTAATATTTTTTTTAATAATTTTTATTGATTTTTATAATTAAACAACAAAAATTATGATGCATTTACGTACATAAACAAAAAAGAAAAAATAATCCAAATCAATACATTTTCAGAGATGCTCGGCAGTTCCTGCCATACCTCCACCCTCATCCACTTTCCTTTCCTTCCTCCCTCTGACCCCCAACCTCTCCACCTTCCTACTTACCACTACCTACATCCCTTCTCCTTTCTTACCACCTCCTCGAGTGCAATTTGGGATACCAGCCGAGCATCTCCTCTTATCAATACAATAAGTATTTATCTATAAAATGTAAATACATCAATTTTTATAATTCCCCTAATCCCCTACCCCCCTGAACTTCCTGGAACCCAATACAGGACTAACACTCATCCCGAGGACTTCCGGTGGCAGGCGCCTTCGCTGGACGCAGCTGTTTGCTGCTCCCGCCTGTTTCTGCGTAAAAGCCGTTTTGACAGCCTGCATCAGCTGTCAAACGGCTTGATACCTTTCCCCTGGGCATAGGGGGAAAGGTGAGCTGCCCGAGGTAGGAGTTGAGTTCCCGAGTCGTCCCTTGTGGACGATGTAGGTGAG